TCACTGAAGGACAAACGGCACTTTGAAATAGCTTTATACATCAACACATCTTAGAAGAAATCAATTGCACTGTGAAAAGTAATTAGAGCTTACCTTCATTTCACTGGTCCAAATACCCGACCTGGTAGGAGACAAATGTGAATGTTGGATTACTGCTCTGCAAGGGACACAGGAGAATCATTTTGCCAGGACACCCTTAGCACAGCTAGTGAATTCCAGCTGTGGGTATGTACAGGCATAGAGCCTGTTGAGTATTTTGAGACAATATGTCATCTATCCATGGCATTTGTACAGCAGAGTCTGGGTCATACTGCTCACACACAGGAATTTTTTTACTCCTTCTCTCATGCTGTAAGCGCTTTTATAAAGTCTAGCAGTGGCACCTACTAAACTGAGAGAAGAAACAGCAGTAAAACCTGTATATATACGTATGTACCTGGTTAGAAATGTGAAACTGAAAATGCAAATGTGAATTGTGAATTGACCACGGCTGTGCTGATTATGCTAAGGCTCTGAAGATGGCCAGAATGCAGCCAGCAGGTGCATGACACTTTCAGCAACCCTGTGAGATCTCAGTTAGATCTGAGCGCTCAGTGTAGCCTGTAAACAGTCAGATTAGGCCTGTGTACTTCGTAATTACCTGTTTATTAACTTAGTTTCACCTCTGTATACTTTGTAGAAGTGTTTTTCTTGAAAAAAACTTTTTTTGATAGGACAATATAGACATACAATTCCTTCACTTAAAAAAAGAGTTCATGTAGGCGCGAATATGTTTGTGGACAACGTACTTGAAAAAAATGGAGCAAATAAGGGTACTGATATAGTATTCATCCTCAGGGTGACAATAAAATGGGATAGCAAAAGAAAGCATGAAAAATGTAGATAAGAAAAATGTATTTGTAGGGAAATTATAGCTCTCTTCCTGACCTGAGCGTGTAATGGGGATGCTGAGTTAGCATTGCTAGTAAAGAAAAGCCAGTTCAGAAATTATCATAAAATGAGCAAGGTTTCAGGCAAAGAGACAAAGAAAACAACAGGTAAAAAATATGGTTATTTACATTTTGCAGGACTGATTTTTTTTTTTTCCACAAAGGTTTCTCATTCCATGAAGAATCATCATAATTTCAGAGTGTATTAATAGGTTTTGACAGTTTAATTTTTCTATCAAGTGTTCTGTGATTGTGAGACCTGATGAGATTATTGTGAAAGAGCTTGTACTTACACTTGTTTTACCTTTAGGAAAGTGCACCCAATGGACATGGAAATCAGAGGGTCAAATGTATCTTGATAAGAGCTTTACCCACAACAGATCACAGCAGTTTAGCCATAAGGTGGTGAGAGGCAATGTTTCAAAGGTAAGACTGCGTGCACACTGCTTATGTCTTGCCAATGGACTAATGTGATTAGTAGACCATTCTTTCATGTGTTGGGCCTAACATCTTAGAAATGAGACTTTTGTTCTCTTTTTCATTGAATTTTTACCAGTAGGAAGAGATGAACTGATTGGTTTGTATCCTTTCTGCTGAGGTATATAAGCACAAGTAAAGCTGGTTTGTAGGTTATTTCAGCTGGTACAGCCTTTCTGTGCTTTCTGTATTGAAAATAAGTATTTATTACTTGGAAACCCAGTAAAGAGCTGTCCTTTAATCATTTAACTGTGGGATCTGACATGTTATAAAATGCACCTGTTAGAGACTGCTGGAATTCAATTAGCTCTCATGTGACTTATGCTGCTTAACTAATGGGCTGAAAGGTTATACTGGGTAAATACAAGCTCCAAAATTGATTCACAGAGAAGTCTGGAGAAATGTCATGATTTCACTTTGTAAATTTTGGCCGTGCCACAATAATCACATTGTTATTTTTCTTTATACAGTTCATGACTAGAGTGATACTGCTTATGTATTTGGAATTTTCAAAAGAGAAGAATTTTAGTTAATATTTCTTGCGTTAAATGTCAGGCACTTCTAAATAAGAAACAAAAATTGCTGTACTACAATATAGTTTTATAGATGGCAACCATTTCTTTCCACACATTGTTTGTATTATTTATGTTTGACTAGTATAGCTAGATGTAGAGCAAATTCATTAAGCTTACTATGACGTTATAAGAAAACCACAGTCTTAACTAAGATGACTAATATTTATCTGCAATCACGTTATAACAATTTAATTATAAGGTATCATTTTCTTTTATGACATATCTACTATAGAAAAGATTTTCTGGGGTATGTGTGTCAACCAAGGATTTTACAGTTTTCTCTCACTTCATGTTTTCATTTGCCATTGTAATTTTGGTTTTTATAAAGCCTGTGAACAGCCCTTGCTCTAGGATGACCATTAGAGTTCATCTTGTTTCAGGTTGCATTATAAGTGCATTTTGTCATAAATAAATATACAGATGCATAGATATGTACTTTATGATGTATTAACTTGATGGTAACTATGATTTTCCCCTTTTGGGAGGACCAGTGGAGCACTGGGGAAGCTGGAGTACTGTTGAGTTGTGTTTGAAGCCCTTCCACCAGCTCCTGCTCACTGTCAGCCTCTGTGAGCAGCGAGAGGAGAGAGTTGGATCATTATTACCCTGCCTCCTGACTAAGTTATATTTTCAATAAGCTTTTGCAAACAAACCAGCAACACATTTCAGCTGAATCTTCAAAAAAAAATTCAACCTGAAACAAAGTCCTGGCATAGAGAATTTGAGCCTAATGGTATGAAGTCTGGCAAAGTTGTAAGCTTCTTCTGAAGAGAAACATTAGGTGTGATTCTAAATGGGACAGAAAAAGCCTTAAGTCTAGAGGAATACAAGAAAGTCATCAAGTAGGCTGTCTTGTTGCTAAAGATCTGATATTGGCTGAGTCGATAGGTCTTCTTGTCTTCCCTCTTTCTCTGATTTTTTTTTTGTTATGTTTTCTCTCTTTATTCAAGTGAAAGTTGCAACAAATTTTGACAGGTAAGTGACTGTAAACTGTGGTTTAGTAGAATGAATGTAGCCTCTATGAAATTTTCTAATTCTTGAGCAAGGGAAACCTAACATTGCTGCTGTGTACTTTGGTCAGTGCTTGGAAAAATGCCGCTCCCCACTGGTTGCTGCTGTGGTTAAAGGAGCCTAAGTGAGAGTAAAGTTATCAGGCAGCTGTGTATAACATTAATTAAGATACCTTGAATATGATTTAGCCTTTGAATATGACAGCCTTGGAAGAACTGGTCCTACATTTCTATTTGCAGGTTTCATAGCACAATGGGCATTATATAAATTTAAGAACTTTCTAAAAAAACCGACCACATCGGTTTTAAAATTAATTGATGATCTTTTTCTAATAGTTAATGAATTTTATTATCTAATCCGTGCTGCAGTCTGGAATTTTCTGTCAGAGCACCGCCTATTTATGATGCAGATATCTTGTCTGTCTCGAGGCTGGTACTGCACCATCTCAGGCCATGGAGTCCCCTTAAACAGCTCAGACTACAAACAGTGAGACTGTCTGACTCCATAATGACTCATTAGACGGCTCTTACTGAACTTGAATCTAATGTCTTCTTAGGTTCTATGTTAATTCTTCAGTATAGAACTTAAAAAGAAAGCATAGAATTCAAAAATATCAGACAAGCAGCTGTGGAGTCACTTTAATCAATTTTACTATGAAGGAAAAAAATGTACTGCAAGAATTCATTACAGAAAAAAATCAGGATATTCGTGTTCAAAATAAGATGATTATCACTATGAGCCAGACATGTTACTTTGAAAATATGAAACATAATACATTCTCTTTTTCATAATAGAAGGTATTGGAGAATCACCAATGGATTTCAGAATTAAAATAGACATATTTCAGTTTTGTATTTCTGTTATGAGAACGCTGTCAGATCAGTTTCAACATTCAAATTAATTTCCCTACATGGTCAGGGAAAATCTGGGAGATTTCTTTCTCCTCAGCTATTCTTTTTCTTTCTTTATGATTGTATTTAATTTGCATTAAGCTGCTATGAAGAGAAAGAAGCAAAACAGCCTCTTCCAGTTTACTCCAGCTTTATCCAAAAGCAGCAAGTTGCCACTCAAAGCATCAGGCCCAGGGCAAGGCTTATCAGAAGCTAAGGCACACTGCAGCCCTATGCCTGGCTGGAAGCTGCACCTGATGAAGGTGATATTTGCATGTCTGCAAGGTGCAGAAAGGCAGATGCAGCCAAGAGAAGCAGAAGTATTTCACTGGAATGAGGTCAAGAGAATTAACTTCTTTGGGGCACTGCATTTGTTTTCAGATCAGCAAGAAAGCTGGTTGCTCCTATTAATTTTTGTGGAGTTCAGAGAGACAGAGCATTGGCCATTTTCCATGGCAGAAAAGAAAGGCACCAAATAAATGCTTGGTTCACCTCATCTGTTTGTTCTCCAGACAAACACAGCCCAGCAAGACCTCAGTCAGTCTCTGGTCAACTGGGCCAAAAAGGCAGCAGCTCCTCCCCAGGTTGCAGGAGGGCTGGAAAGCTGGGGTGATGGCGCTGTGCCTTGTACCATGCTCTGCAAAACAGCATGCGCCCAATGTGAGCCAAACTGATGGGTTGGCAGCTGGAGAGGGTTCGTCATCTCTTGGAAGAGCAGCTCCCCAGCTGGGTGCTGCTGCAGCGTGCACTGATCCTTCCTACACAGGAAGGGGTCTTCACCCCTCCAGCCCTTCCTGTGTTCATGTGGCTTTAATGCTTTTGGGCTCACGGATTTTCTAAGCCACTTTCAGTCAGCAGTGTAGGAAGGCAGTTACCTCACTGTTAGCCAACAAGGGGAGAGTTCTCAGAGCAGCCATGGTTTTCCAGGATGCGCTCTTGGGCTGGATCTTCAGAGGCTCCTGGGCAGGCCCTCATTGCTGTAAATTGCCAGCCTTGCCACAGACCAGTCAGCAGAGATCTGTCAAATTTGCACCACCTGAGAAGCTGTTTCTCCAGTGAAAACCCCATGTGGCTGGGCCTGCTTTGTGTTAGGAAGTGACTGGCTCAATCTCCTAACCGCTCTCATTTTAGTTTCAGGAAAGTTTCTTTGAGGTTCACATTAATGATGCCACCAGGAGAAACTGTTTCTGACTACAGGGTAAGAACACACTTTCACCTTTTAACTCTTCATCAGGGTTTCTGAGACAGCAGAAAAGTGGCAGGATCTTTTAATATCCAGCAGAGAGGATAACTTAGCAGTTGCCAAGTAGGAGCAGTTGACATTGGTTGGGAACAGGAGCAAACGTTGTCTTTGCTCACTCCTCCTACCTCCCTCAGCAGACTGAACATAATAAATGTAGTGGTAAGAAACAAATGGTCTCCCCTGCTGCTTTGCTAGAAATTGGAGTGTCAAGTCTTCCTTTACCAGGTAAAAAATAGAGTGGGCAGGATGTGACAGGATTTCTAAAATAAGCTTTGCAGAACGTAGAGTGCCTCAAAACCAGGATATGAGCAGGAGGGTGGATATGATCTGAGAGGGGCATGACGGTGTGTTGGAAAGACCTAAAGAGGAGTAGGAGGAGAAAAAAAAGTGCTTTGTACAGAGCAGAGCATATGCAGGACCACTTTGAGTGGTGTTTGTGGTTTATGAGGTCTGTTGAGGCAACTGCTGGATGTGTGAGACAGTATTATCACAGTAATGAATTATGTTTTAATTCCTTGTAACGTGCCCAATCCTGAGTACTACAAAGAAGCAAATTAGGCTCCTGCGCCAGCCAGCAAGTTGTGTTGAGGTTTTAAGGAATGCTCAGAAGAGTGGCATGACTCCTCACTACACACCATGAGTGACACGAGTCTGTCATGCAGCTCTTTGCCTCCCCTATCCCAGGTCTTTCTGCAAGAGGAAGGAGACCTTCCAGGGAGGAGAAACGTTCTCTCCTCTGTCCCTAGCAAATCTCCTTATTAAGAGAAAAAAAACCTGGGATTCCCTGGTTTCATCCTTTACTTTAGAACCAGACAGAGAAACAGGCTGGATTGCTGGATTGTCAGATTCTCAGCTGGTGCAAGTGGTCAAACTCCCACTGATCTAAGCTGTAGTAATTTACCAGCAGAGGTAAAAATAGAGTGGTAATGCCTGTTCCCATGGGAAGAATCTTAGCTTTTTTTTCCATACCTACACCGCAAGGACGGCCACCATTTTTTGGCAGAAATTATATAGGAAAACTACTTTGCCCTCAGTTTTTTGCATGCAGTAACCAGAGGAGTGACGGCAGAGATGATGCTGGTCACCACAGAGCATGCTTAAAGAGGACAGGGAAAGAATGCACTCTGTCAGTGTCTGGGCTGAGACTGTGATGAGCAAACTCAGGGTGGATAGCTTGTTCCTAACACTGCCTCCCTGCTCTGAACTTTGTTAACCATGAATGAATTAAAAGACAATCTCAGAGAAAAAAAAGAGATGCTGATCAAGAGTGCTTGATCAGTGATGAGGTATACACCCCTACCACGTACTTTTAACAAACTCCAAGCTACCAAACAATAGTACAGTTTTGATTGAGTAGTTGGACTTTATTACCAAAAGAACCAAAATCATCAGGCAGAGCGTTCCTATGGTTAAAGTGTAATTACAGTACCAAAGAGATTTAGGAAAATATTATCACATCCCATAGAGGAAACAGGCAGCTGGGGACTTGATGCCAGCACTAGGATGAATTCAAACACCTATATCCAATTTAGGAAGCAGCGTCAAACCGCAATCCTAATTCAAGTTTGGTTGTAGCAAAAAATAAAGGGTTTTCCCTCTGGGTGTGGTCCTAGAAGCCGCAGAGTGATCCCTGGAGCTGTCAGACATACCCCACACATGAGTCAGAAAACAGTTACACAAGTGGCTTCTGTGCTCTCCATTATTCAGGCAAGGAGAGGGGATACTTAGGCCAGGTAGCAAAGGGAACCTGTCTAGCTGGGTGAAGAAGTTACATTCTCTCTTCAGCACAGAGGGGAGTATGCTAAAGAAATATTCTGTGGAATATTTCTGTGGTGGAAATGTTGCCCCAAAATGCTATACTGGTGTCCAACAGAGATTTTTAGTTATCAGAAATAAATGCTCTATATGTATTTTCAAGGCTTCCTGCACAGCATCAATAAAAACGGAAGGTGTCAGATGATGTGATAGCATACAGCTAAAATCTTTTCTTTTAACAGCCTCATTGGTTCTAGCTGGGATGAGTAGCTAGTAAGATGATTCTCTGCACGCATATTTTGGAAACTTTTTGGTCATCTAACATGCAGCCAGCACATTTAGGACCAGTGATTAAATTACTGAAGGCTTTTGTTTTGAAGTGTGTGCTCCTCAATATATCTTTCAGGGCTACTCATGTGCCAAGGGGTTTGTAACCAAGCTGTGATTCTCTTTCTTGCTTTCAGAGGTCTCATTACAGGCTGCTGGCACCAGCAGCTAGCTCCCAGGTTATTTCAGAAGACTGCATCACTCAGCAGAGTCTGAACAGAGCAGACAAGTCAGTCAATGAGCGGGTCACAAGAAGTCAAAATGTACATTTCTTCCTGGAAGGCAGAGTTTAGCTGTTACAAAATGGTGGTGTGCAACGGTTATTTTGAGCCAGGAGAATTACTGGAGTTCAAGCAATTCCTTTCATAGATATTTTCTCACAGGAGCCAAAGTCAGGCTTTGGAAAGCAGCAGGACATAATGCAGAGGTTTCACATGTTTTTCTGAGATGCAGGCTGCAGAAAGAACCACAGCTTCAGACTCTTGGTCAGGGTAATTTGTATAGTTCTCTTGGTTTCCTAGATTTTAGGCTAGTGATTTAATTGTAGAGGACTTTTGCTTTGAATCTGTATTGTGGTTTATTCCTATAATTTGGGTACCATCCTGCTAGGGCTATGCTAAGAAAGCCATTGTGGGTTTAGGTTTTGTATTTTTTTTCTTTTTCTTGTTTATTTTTCCTTATAAATGGCTTCAATATTTTCTCCTCCTGAACATGTTAATATGTACTTACTAAATATGATGCTCAGCTCCTCAAGTCAAAGGACAAGCTGAGGTCAATGGAGTTTGCACCAGCTGAGGATCTGGTCCCTGACTTAAAAACAGACAAAACAAAATACAATCCAAAGCTGACTTCTCTATTAGAGTGTTTCAGCCTATATGAAATGCTTTGAGGACATGATATTGAGATTTACTTTTTTTTTTTTTAAGAGGATCAAATGCAAGAAATAAATAGGCATGCAAAGTCTGCTTCCCAGGTTATTCGGGTTTCTGAGCTCTGCTGTGTCCTGCTGCAGAGTCTTTCCTTCTGCTTTGGTAAAACATGAGAGTGTAGAGGGTGACCCTGTGCACTTGTTTCAGATGAGTGTAAACAGAAGATGATATTACTTGTCTGAATGAAGTGGACTATCCCATGGAGGAGAATAATAGCTGTCTCCAAGAGCTGTTTTTCTCAAAAAGACTAGTGAGAACTTAAAAGTCAAAACACCCAAGAAGAGGGTGAAAGTTGATTACTTTAAGGATTAAACTGTTGCCCTGGTGAAGTCAGCAAATACTGTTTCTAAGCAATGATTTCAGTGTCTCCTGAGCACTGTGAATCTGAACTGTGCTATTGGGAGTGTATTTCTTAAAGATACAAATATAATTTTATTAGTTTTTTAAAATGTTATTTCTTAGTGTAAGTTTGATAAAATACATTTTGGAGCAGTGTATAAAAAGCAGCTTATGCAGAGAATCTCATCTGCATGTGTGTTTTTAAAATATGTAGAAAACTAGAAGTATGTCATAAAAAAATTATACAGATCCTAAATTTGCATCAAATTACAAAGAACTGTGTTCTTTAAAAATGTACTTGGTGTAGATTTTTCCTGACTTATCCTTCTTTGGAATTCCTCAGTAGAGGCAGAGGAAAGCACTATTGCTCTGCCAGCATCTAGTTAAGTAGGGAGTGATTTTTCACGAAGTCTTGATTATTATTTCATCAAGAAAGTGGGTAGATATTAAAGGTTACCCAGATGGTTTATATATTAATACAATAATCTTGTTCATAGAAATTCTCACAAAGAAAATAATTAATCACAAACACACTGTGATCCTTCTAAAGCAGTGACTGTTTTAAGTTGAAATCCCATAATGGCTATCACCTCTAACCCTAATGTAACTGTTTCTATCCTAGCTACTAAGGTGGCTGCTCATGAAAGGCCATCAAATACAGAAGTAAATGCAAAGGTTAACAAAGTTAGTGGACCAAACAAACTTGATACTGAGAATGAACTTTCACATGTAACAAGAAAATAAACATCACTCTCACAGACTGATCTACACAGGAGGTTTGAGATGCCAAAATATTAAATGTTATTAAGCGCATAATCTCTATTTTACAGATAAGTGTTTACTCTAGACATTACCATCCTTTCATATTGATAAAAGTCTTCTCTCAAATTAAAAAAGAAAAAAAAAAATTCATGCACTAGTGTGTTTTCAGTGAGATGGTTTTTGCTCTGGGCTCCAAGAGGTCATTGGTTTGGGGAACAGAAGCGATTGCACAGAGGTGTGTAAATCTCGATCACTTTTTTTTTGTATGGCCCAGTTATTAATATGTCATTTAGTTGTTAAACCTCTCTCCAAGGTGTAATCTTTGCATGATATTGTGCTTCAGGAGTCTGATTTGTTAAGGAATGGTTATTCAAATTTTCAGCAGTCCATTTCCACCCCCTCCTCCCCACCATAGGTAGCGAAAATGCTATTTACTTCTCCAATCCATTGTTTATTGTGGGAGGTTTTTGCTTCAGAAATAGACTACTATGTGATGCTTTGCTGGTTGAGTTCAGCTGGACAGACTTTGTAGTTCACAAGCACCAAGCACGCTTGCAAAGGAATAGAGTATGGTCAGGTTTGTGTGTGGGATGTACCATGGTAGCTAGAAAGGGCATCCTTCATATATGCAAATAAGGATTTCAATGGTCTCTGAGGAAAAGTGTGGGATTCAGTAGTCTGAAATTTATAGCCCTCCCCCTTGCTGGTAGAGGAGACACCCACCAGCACCAGGGTATTGGTGGCTACTGCCCCAACCTGCAGCTGCCCACAGCATTCTTTGGTGGGATCCAGATGTCTCTGTTGACCTCAACACAGCTGAACCTCCTGCCTTTTTAATCAGAAGTGCTCCTTAGCATTAGGAGGAAAGTTTCCTTTTTACCGTCACAATCCTGTGAACATGCATAGGACTGCCAGGAAGCTAGTCCCAGATGGGAGAACAAAAATGGCAAGCTCTTTTTTATGAGTTTTGAAAAGAAAAACAAAAGCTTTCCCATTAATTTAATCAAGTTGGTATCCTAAGCCCCAGTCAGAAAAGGACATTTTTGGGGTCGCAGTGGAATAAATAATTCAATGATGAAAAGAGAAAGAAATGTTGATTAGATATAAAACTTGACAGTTGGGGAAACTATTTCCCTGGCCTACAAAGTAATTTTTCAGGTAGATCAAAAAGAGTTATTTAGTTCTACACAATTTCCAGTTTTAACAACATTAAATAACTTTTCTCCAGTTAGATATCACTCTTTGAAGATTTTGAAACTGTTATTCCTGTGGGGAGGAGGATATTGAATAATTCCTACCAGTTATGAAACTCAATATTCTCCAGATGGTTATTGAGTCAAGCTTTTATACACCATTGTAAAATGGGTTTAAAATATCCTGTGCTGTGATTGACTGAACAAGTCACATGGCTACTGCATACAAGTTTGAACTTCTTTTTCAATTAAATGACCTTATTAAAATCATAAACAAAAAAGGTACTTAAAGGCTGGCTTTAAAAAAGCAGCTATAAATCCTAAAATTATTGTAGCACTGTTGTTGTTTGTGCTAAAAAAGACAAAAAATTAGGAAGGCTTTTCTGGGCATGAAATTAGTCCTTTCGTAATCAGTTGGTTTTAAAAGGTATAGCTCCATATGTTTTCACAGTCCTCTTTTTCTGTAAATGACTAAAAAATTCACAACCTAAGCATTGTCAGTTTACATCAGAACTTGAGCTAGCAAACGTGAAGGAGCAAAACCCTGCAGTAAGCAGGAGTATTCCTCAAAGAACAATCTGAAGCATTGCTCTCCATAAAACCCTCTTACCCATTTGCACTGCAGTGGTAAAATCACTCTAGTTCAAGACACCGCAACCCACAGAATGTGAACAAATAACCTCAGGAAGGGGGATCTTGCCATGTAACTGGACAAGGGAACAGGAGTCTGGCTGTTATGGTGGCAGTGATTGTTTGGCAGGGCTGGCTTGGGGTGAGGTGGAAGTGGGATTTCTCATCTGTCTGGCTGCTAATGCTCTCCCTGTTTCTGCTGCCCTCACTCAGCCAGGTGCAATCCCCCTGGCCTGTCACCACTTCTCCCATTGCACAGGCAGAGACTGCAGCGCAAGCCAGAGCAAACAGACCAGAAACAAAGGAAATCCTTGGGAGAAGAAAAATTATACTTAAAACCTTGGCTCCCTGATTGGTGCTTGCACTGCAGAGTTTGCTGCACCTCGGGAATAACAACAGGCACCTTTCATTCTTTATTTCAGAATGACTAAAGTATCCCCTTAGGGTTTTTGTGTTGTTTAGGAGACTCAGGTAGCAAAATTAATTGTACCTATTCAGATAATGATTCAGTTTAGGGATTCTTTGTTGCTGTTTACGGATCTCCAGTTTTTAGAGTGAGAGTCTACAGAGGTTAATTATAAGGGAAAAGGCTGCGTAAGTGCAGAGTGTCTTTAACATTGAGAATAACTCGGTGGTGTACTCCTAAAGTGACAGAAACCCTGGCATTTCTATTGATGGGAACTAATGCTTTTTCCTGTCACTTTTATACTGTGTATGGCTTATAGCAATGAAAATATTAGAGATTGGCATTAGCAAAAAGATCTTCATTAAAAAACAGTGATGAGAAACATATTCAGGGATTTTTATTTCTTTAAGAAATCTGTTTACATGAAAGGGAAATAGGAAGACCCATAAAGTGGCTGAATCTGGTACTACACTTAAAATCAGGCTGCTAAGAATTTTTAAGTGATTTTTTTTTTTTTTTTCTCTTCAGAAAATATTCTGGTTGTAGCATAACTCGACTCACTTATCAACACCTTTTTTTTTTTTTAAGCTTATTTAGTATGCCTGGGTTTCAGAGTTTCAGTTTAATATTGCTAACAGTCTTAGTAAAAACACCAGGATTAGCAGTGTATTTGAACACCTGTAAAGTTAATTTAACAACTGCAATAGCAAATGTTGCAAAATTCAAAATATATCTAACATATTTGTAGTTTGAATGTTAACCACAGCTACTTAATGGTGTTCCAGAGGCTTGGAATGTACATATTTTATACATCCCAAGGAATAGCTGTGATTGATGTCTTTTTATGTCAAATGTTTGATTTGCTGAAAGACAGAACCAAAAATACAGCAAAAGGAGGTAAGTCTGGGAAGAGCTGCCAGGCCAGCAAATTTGTTTATTAAAAGAAAGAAAAAATATGCAAGTTTGGCACGCTTCTGTATCTTATTTGAATTAAATAGGAAATTGGGATGGACAGAACAACAAAAGGAAGATAAAGAGAAAAAAATAGTAAAAACAAGCTAAGAAGAGAGAAAATGTTTTATTGTTTTACTGATCACCTTCAAAGTGATGATGTTGTCCTGTCATTCAGCCATATGGAAGTCTAACAGATGTCTCATGCACAGCTATGAATGCTTGATGTACAGGTGTTTTATTATCGTTCCACAGCCAGATTCTTCAGGTCATTCAGAGAAACACACCTTTCTATTATCATGGGCACTGATGATAACATTTTCATAGCAGACTCAATGATTAAGCCAGATACACTACGTTCACTTTTCTTTTTATTCTGAGGAGCTGGTTATCTTCATATTTATACTAGCTGTGACTACACAGCTCAAAGGATTTTACTTGAGTTACTCTTGATTTATTGGGGGGGGGGGAGAGAAATAAAGCCTACTAAACATTTATTTTCAATATTGCCAGATTTATATTATTTTTGTCAGATTTTCAGCTAGTTCCAGTTCTAAGCAAAATTATCACTAGGCACAAATTTAACATTAAATTTTCTAGGAACTTTTGGTCTTCACTGGAGTAATAGGCAGCAATGGAAAGTCTGCAAAATAAAACCATACTGTCCTTCTTCTCTTAGTTTTATAGGAACTAATTCCCAAACTCTTTGCTAATTAAAAAATGTCATAGACATTAAGCTGAATTTCCTGGCAACTGGGGTATATATCTTGCATTCCTGGATTTCAAGCATCCATCTAGAGTAAAAAAAAAATATTGTAGAGCATTACAAAAAAAAAATATACAAAAGTTATTCACACACACCTTTTAGGCCATATCTTTCCTGGGCAAACTGTTGATCAAGCATAAACTGAAGGTACAGCAGAATTCACAGACCTTCATCTAGACTTCGTGTCCACTGTGAATGATCAACTTATCACTTAAAAGAAGCATGCATGAAAAAAGACAAATGTGGACAGGATAAAAGTTGAAATACTTTGTGGTGTGGTCTTCAACACCTAACATAACTCTGCTGCTGGGGACATTTTAAAAGGAACTGTAATTTTGGTGTCTCTTCAAGCCTGAGTAACACTTTGGATACAGACCTTCATCTCTTTCTATGAGGAATCAAAATACTGTGTCCCATTTATTGAACATGGGTCTTAGCATCTTTATAAGTTCATAAGCACTTATTTTTTTTTAGCTACAGCTGCTGAATATATTGAGAAAGTCACACTAAAAAACCTCTAGGCATTTCAAAATTCAACATGCTAAGAGCTTAATAACACAGGTGGCTTACCCCCACACTCCATGTGCTGTTTTTGCTACAGAATAAAATGTCCAAATCAATGTTACTATTCTGATACTCAAAGCTCAGTATGAATTTTGCTACAGTTAGGTGACAAATCAACACTTCCCTTGGGAATAGGATTTACCACCAACAGCTATGTTTTTCTGGAAGAACTAAATTGTGCACATTCCAGAGAGGCATTTGAATGCAAATGGTAGAGGAAAAAAAGAACAATTCAGAACAAAATCCAAAAAATAACTGTGATGTAGTTCTGCTCAGTAAAATCTGGATCACATGAAACATTGAAGGCTTGAAGCATTGAAAAATATATAACCAAAACTATTTAAATGTAAGTCTACAACTTTACTTCAAACATGCCACTTAATTATGTGTTTAATTACTTTTTCCAGGATCTTTTTTTGCCAACATGTTGAATAATCAAACTTTATATTATTATTTTATATACCTAAATATACAGATGCTGAATGCAACCACCTAACACATAGAACAGTCAAGATTTTTGGGGAGGACCAAAGTGGGACATGCATTATAATGTTTTATATTTTTTATTTCTATTTTAATACACTGTGGAGGTTGTTGGATAGTGACAGATATATTTTATTTACTTTTTTCTTTATCAAATTTTTAGACGTTTTAGTCTCCATAATAAGGTAATTAATAACATTATCAATACTTTTTTAATTTTTCACAGGAATATATTGAAAATTAATACTTCTCATATGCTGATGCAAGGTATACATGTACAAGTGTGAGAATTTCAAGTGTATTAGTAAAGTATATTAGTAAAAAAATATAGTAATAAAGCATTAGTACATTAATAATTATTGAAACAAAACCTGTTTAAATTCCTTTCTAAACCAACATATTTTCACTGTTCCTGCTTCCTCTGTCTGAGCTATAGCATGCTGCGTAAGTAGAGCTTTTGTGGCCTTTACTTATGTCAATGACACTTCTGGAATCTGGCTTTTTGGCCCTAAATATGATACACGTGTCTAAAAGACCAAGGGAATTATTTATAGCTGCAAGTTACTCTTTGCAATTTAGCTCAAAACCAGGTATATGACTATTAAATTCTGTTAACTGTAATCAGGTTATTCCCTCACTTTCGAGGGCTTGAGTGCATTTAGTGAACATTTTTGCATGTAATTGTCTTATTTTGAAGTTCAGTCTTTGAAGCTCTTTTGGACTGAAACACCCCACCGGCCCTCTTCCAGATACAAACGTGCGAGTAAGTTCCACGGCCTGGAACTAATTGTCCAGACACCATCTGTAGGTCCTGTTCCTTGGTAGAAGCTGCTGTAATCCTGTGGCTTTCAGAGCAAAAGTGGCATTTTACCATAGCCTTAAGCTCTCAAGATATTCCAAAAATGTTTCAAAATATTTCCCAAATATATCTGCCAGCTGGGGGCAGTGGCAAGGTTGCCATGCGCATGAAACTTACATGCCCGTATGCAATGCAGCCTATTTCAGGTAAATACTGTCCAAAATGAGAAGCTGGGCAGGGCACTGGACACACATAGTGAGATGGAAGCAGGTGAAATCTCCTGAGTCCAATTGTATAGCTGTTTCAGAGAATTACTTCTTTCAACCTATTTTTAGCATATCTTTTTTTCAAGCATAATAGGAAGGTTCTGCGGGTAGCTGATCCTCCTGCAAGAACATAGCCCTAATTACATCCTGCCTTCTGGTATGTGAGGAACCCCCACAAAATGGTGCTCTTCTCTAAATCCTGGACTTCCCTTTCTTTCAACAGGCCATTTTTCTGCAAGAAAACCTTTTATGGGAATGAGTTCGGCCATTAACAAATACCTTACGTTACAGATTTCCAACTTCAACTGTTTCAGCTACTTAAGTGTTATAATGCGAAAGCAGCTAAGGACAATCCATGGAATACTTATGCAGAAAAATGAGGACCTCAGGATTTCTTGCATCCTGTTTTGCATTGAAGAATTTATTGCTTTGAAGAGAAAAGTATTTGAGCCAGGAAAGGATGGTCTTTTCTCCCCAGTACTCAGTTGCATATAACAATTTGAAGTTTTTCTAAGGGTTACCTTGGTCCTTGTTAAACTCCAGCTTGCTTATTATTTCTGAGTGGAATATTTAAACCTTAAGCCACTGCCCACCAAAACCAGCTAAAGGCTGCGTTTTCTCTAATGGATTTTTTGACTAGTCACTTAAAAGTCTTTCTTTCTGTACAATTCCACTCAAATTTTAAATTTTTGAATGCCTAAAACTTTCTCAACCTTTCTGCTTTCTCAACCCCCTAAAACTTTCTCAACCTTTCTGCTTTATCCAGAATAAAGCTATGCAGTGCCTTTCAGTGAGAATTCCAGTTCAAAACAAAATCTGTAGCCATTCAGTGGCTGGTCAGTCTAGAGGGGAAAATGTTGCACAAGAGCTTTTCTAATACAGATTTCTCATTTATGAAAGCGTCCAAATGGTTTTCATCCAGAATTTCTGACAGTCAGAGTGGAACACTGCAGTCCAAAAAGTGAAATTCTAGCAAATTTTGTCCATGGGAAAATTAGGGTTTATGGTAGAAATCATTCTGTAAGTAACAATAGCAGCAGCTGTTACTTATGTTGCTCCCCTAATAATAAAATCCTTTAGGAGTAATTAACCGTGTTCAAACATGAAAATGTTTCAGTCAAGAAAAAAAATCTTGTTTTACTGAGATTCCTGTTACCCTCAACTGGTTTTGTATAATTAAATCTATCCACAAGGAAATGTCTTAGAAGTGTTTTTTGATTGTTTATTGAAACTTTTACTTTTTCATGTGTTCCCTCTATATGCTATCAGGCCAAATACTGTTCTCAGTCACGAAGATTTGAATCTGTATTAACATCAGCCACATAAAAGCCAGCTCCAGAAGTGAGAAAAGTCTTTCCAAAAGGACTAGATGATGGGTGTTTGAACATTTAAGAACATCCTTCAAGAAGAGTTGTCTTTCTTGTTATTACTTAATCATTTGCAAACAGATTTTCTACCATTATTACACTGATAGTAGTCACTGTTCCTTCAACCATATTACAGTGTTTTCATGATGATAAAATTTCTCCTCTTTAGCCAAAGACCTTTTATGTTTTTGTAGCAGCCAGCTACCTTATGTTCTTACATCAATTAATCTCAGAAGCCACAGCCCCACGTGTGTGTTTGTCTGAACTGAAGCTATATCTAAAAATCTGCATAGAAAAACTTTGAGTTTAAATTCCCCAAGGATTTTTTTTAAATTATTCTTGATATGACATTCAAATGAAATGCTGAAAGTTTATCTAACTAAATTTTCATAATAGAAACCCTGAAAAAGTTTGGTACCAGACTGGCATTATTTAATCCACTTCTATATTGCTCAGTAGCTCTCTGACCCTTGTAGTGTCAGCTTCTCTGTTCAGTTAGTATCATAATTCCATAATAATGAAGTGAATATTAAAATTTTTATCAGAAATACAATTAATCTGGAAAATTCACTTTTGGTGCTGTGAATGAAATGATTAACATTTACTCTTTTACATGATCTTAAATTTTAGCAAATATAAAATACCACTTAATCTTAATAAGACATGTAAATATAAAGTGAAAAGACAAAACCACCACCATCAAAATGCTGCTTATCTAGAGAGATCCATTTATAGTATCCTGCTATTAATTATTTTTTACAGTTAAATAGGTGAGTGCTTCTTTCCGATAGCCTTCCAATATTTCAAAAGAGGAGCCCATGTGGTCACTCCTCTTAGGAGCAAAATCAGTGAGGAGTCTGCCAAAGCACAGAATATCAAATACGTACGTGGCAACTTACTTCATGTATCTCACCACTGCCCGAGTTGCTGCTGACAAGCCCTTGCACCAAGTTAAAGTTAGAAGTATTATACACTATCATTCAAAACTGTTTAGACTTTTGATTCATGCCATTGCTGTATTTTATACATCCTCCTGACCACTCATAGCAGCTGTAACAACACTTGTGGTATTACCAGTAATTTGCAACTTATCAAACATGATTGAACCTTGTTCTTTTGTGTAAACGAAACAGAACTCTCTGGTTAGCTTTCTTTATACTTTGGAAATAGTGCAAAGGAAACCAAGTCTATATTTGCATGCCAGACAATGAAACATAACACACAGTGTATACATGCCTTTGACATTGTAATTACTAGCTGTTGTTTAGATTCCATGTATGGTCACAGGCTTTGGCTGTTGGAATCAGCTGTATCAACATATAATCAAAGTCTTATAGATTTTGGTTGTATATTTTTCTAATGTCAAAATGGAAATGCTGAGACTAAAAAATAAGTTCTTAGTTAAGAAAATGCATGGCCACTGCACTGCAAAAATAATGAACATTTGTGGCTTAATGAACAAAGTCCATTGGAGATTTTGTCTGTAATGAAGCACAACAGAACAGGAAATTTTAAATTTGATTTACTTCTTCAGGATTTCAACAAATTTTGATGAATGCTTCTGGAAGTTATACTTGAAACTGTGTTAATGTTGTCTTGTTTATCAGACATTTAGGCTTAGTTTCTAACTCTTCTTAGAAATGCGTACTGCTAGAGGCTATTGAGCCTCTGCAGTGCCTTGGTCTGAATCATCTAGTCTCCGAAAAAATGTGCTGGTAAAGCAGACTCGGTGTCCAGTACCTCACATTGCCACACAGTCTCAATAAAGGGCACAGAGCATGAATGTAAGTTCATAAAACTTGCCTGTGCTGCAGAGTACCCACAGACAACATAGCTGAGCTCTGGGAACTCAGCATACAGCAGTGAACCCCCAGAGAGTATTCCCTGTGTGGTCCATGTGACTTTGTACCATGCTCAGTAAGGTGAAAGATCATACTGTGCACTTAAGAGAAATAGTTAAAGTCAAAATAATAAAACAGAGTGTGCATTTTGAGTAAGTCCTTGTTTTATTCGTCATACAGTCCAGCTCACACTGAAAAAAGTTTGAATGAAAAGACGAAGTCAGTGCTTTACCAAACACCATCCAGCTAAATTCCTGGTCCCACTGAAATGCTCCTCCTGCTGTGAAGCAGTGCCCTTAAAGGTGTCAGTATCCTCTCTGATTTTTATGTTGGAATAGTTCTTTTGTTTTTTTGTTGGCTATTTCTGTAGGACTGGGGAACCAGTGGAATTTGTGCACCTCAAAAAAGTGATAGAAAAAATATTTCTTTCTTAATCAAATAATTAATTTACATCCAAATAAACAGAAATAAAGTCTTTATTTCTGAATGTTCCAATACATCCAAGCCCACAATAGAAAAATGTGGAACTTTTCAGTTGTTAGTCATCAAACAAGCCCTTTAGTATTCCCAAGGAAAGGAGAGCACAGGAGTCACGAGACAGCAAAGATGAAATGTTTAATGAAAACATGGAGGTGCTATAGAAATGAAATAATGAGTAAATATGAACTGTTCCAGACCTTCAGGCTATATAAGTGAGTAAACTTTTTATTGCATACTGCAGAAGTGGTAAACTCTTAACCTGCCTTTCCCATGGAATACACTATTAGAAAATCATTTTGCTGCTTTGAAAGAAAAAAGGGGCTATGAAGGGAAGGAAGGAAGGAAGGAAGGAAGGAAGGAAGGAAGGAGGGAGGGAGGGAGGGAGGGAAGGAGGGAAGGAAGGAAGGAGGGAAGGATGGAGGGAGGGATGGAGGGAGTGAGGAGCATAGAGATTCTTTGACTTCTAATTAGAGTCAGAAGAATGCAAAGAAATAATTGTTTAGTTTTTTTAATAACTAAAACTTCCTTATAAGTTTGTCACTTTATAAATGACTAACTTCTTTATTATGGAACTAAAATTAGAAGACTGAAAAGCATAACAGCAAGAGAATGAATAGCTGAAAAGCAACCTTACACCCCATTTCATGATTTTTAAATCTATCTCAATATTTAGCGGCAAGAAGGGGACTATATTTGGCGGCAGGGAGGGGACTATATTTGCTTCCAAATATGAGAGGTTGTCAACCCTATGAATGCATCGCAGGAGTGCTGGGTATTATTCATACATCAGATAACTACGATACTCCTAAACTTTCAAGTAATTATGATACGCAGGCCTCTGCATTTTGAAGTAAACTCTTTCTTCTGTAGTCTTGCCTCTTCAGTCATGACGTTCTCCACAACTGGAAGAGCTTGCACTGGGTTAGCCCCCTGGGAAAGTTCTAATTTACAAAACCCTGTTTAAAAAAATCAAATCTATTTAAAGGCATTACATTATAAACATAAACTCCCTAATGAGCTGTAGTCAAATGGCTCTAGGCTATAACTTGGGAAGTTCAAATGATTTATCCGTTTTCTGCCATGTATTATTTACATTTAATCTGCATCACAAGGACTGTAAAGCATCCAGCTGTTCAAAGTGAGTCTTAAAGATTCCTGCCAAATGCAAAGGCTTGTCCAATTGTTTCCTTCTTTACCGTGTTTGTTTAAAGACATATTAATTCATAGATCAAATGTTTCCTAAATTAAAAGGAAAAAAAAAGGGAAAATCAACATTTCTAATAGGAATGCAGATGCTAAGAAAGATTGCTCTTAAAAAAAAGGCAATTGGAGGTCACAGAATCAGTAGGAAAGAAGGAATGAAGGAAAGAAGGAAAGGAGAGAAGGAAGGAAAAAGAAATCCACCAAACATTCATGCACTTCTGCCCTGGTGTAGTAGAACAATATATGCTTCCATGTTCAGATCTTCACTGCTTTGGACCAAGCATGTACCCTGAGTGTGTGATTAGCCTGTCTTACCTACTTTATTGTCTGCTAGATGCAGTGCAGTTTCTTCTCACCTATACCTGCAAGAGAGGTAGTACAGTCTCTTCGTACCACAATTAACTTCTGCTGTGCTGAGCTCTTTCTAAGAGACATTTGAAAAATCTCATCTCCCTTTAT